TGTTAAGGCACCTCTATCCCAAAAGCCAGAAAGGTCATTTTGATTGCACTCCCTGTCTCTACCCTCTGGGGTGGACCAAAGGGAACCTTTTTTCCTTTCTTAGCTCTGTATCCGAGTTGCAAAGACGGATGCAATGACAATAAAGGGGAGAACATGCAGAGCTGCATTACAAACCGATTCATCAGAAAACAGAGCACGCCTGCCTTACAAATTTGCCTGCAGCTCTTGTCTGCTGTGTTATTTTTAAACTGCCTGCAGGTTGCAGATTTTTCAGTGGTCCTTCTCCTAACAGTGCACACAGAGGATTTAGCAAGGCACAACTTCCGTTACCAGGAATTTAAGTTACCAAAATTCCTAGCACATTAAAATTCAGCGTCTTTCATCTTCCCATAAACTTCTTGCTGCAATTTACGTATTCACAAGAGGGCATCCCGTGTTTCTTACAGCCTCTCCCTGTGGCAAGGTCAGCATAACTCAGCTCTGCATTCCTGATGTTCCCAACTGCCATACATCAGCCTGTGGAGTGCAGCCCTCAGTTGCTGTAATCAGCAACCCAGGCATCAAGCTACAGACTCTTTGGCTCATCATGAAAAACCCAAGAAGATGGACCCAACTGACTGAACCCAGTGCTCCATTTCACAACACTGATCACCGAGACAGGATTGTCTCAGCACCAAAACCATCTGCTGTACAAACGAAGGCTACGTGCAGACACAGGGCACTCTTCCGGCACACATCCAGGACACAAACTTCACAGTACTCTCAGCAAACCTGCCCCGCTTTTGTGGGAGGCTGGATGGGACAGGGTCAGGAGTTGACTTCGGTAAATGAGAGAGCCTCTATGTGCTGAAAAATGGCACAGTCCATGCACAGTTCCTACAGAGAAGGGACTAACAGGAAGAGCAGTCTATTTATGTCACCACAATATTTTAAAGAAGAAAGCAAAGGGACATTTTTCAGAAACACTGATCACCACAACTGCTGCTGATGTAAACAGAAGCTGCAGATGCTCAGACTTTCTGAGGGGTCAGACCCTGCAGCCAAATGTAATGCATATTATGATTTATTTCCTTCTTCTCTGTTGCCTGTATTATTTTGCAGCCCAGAGCAGTACTGCAGAGCAATACCTGTCATGTCAGAACCTCTCCTCTCATCTGATTTGGGATGTCTCAGACATCAAACCATTCGCACTCTTGACCACTGTTGGGAGCTCTAGAAATTATCCCAGCTAGCACTGTTAAGAATTACTTGCCCAGCATCCTCAGCAAGGCCACAGACATAGTCATTTCCATCCCTTTGGCACACACAGAGGTGACAACTGTGTGACATATGAGGACCTTGTTTTGGATCTGGAGCTCCAGCACAGAAGCCTTTGCCCTCAATAGGGTACAGCAGAGACTTGAAAGTAATTTTGATATGAACAGCCAACAAGCTTCAGTCAGAGCAAAATCCTCTGCCCCACAGGGCTGGTGGCTGTCTCCTTGTGGGACAGTGTGGGACCAACTGGTCTGTCTCAGCAGTGATGGCCAAGCAGAGCCTGGCCTCCCTCTGTTGGGTAGGATTAGGTTGCTGTGCTGAGGGTTAAGCTTGTGCTCACTTGACCCCGTATAACAACTGTCCCTCATCCTTCTGCGTTACACAGCTAGTTATGCTGTTGCTTATTCCCCCCTGCTGATTTGGAGAGTATCGATTTGGCTCTTGACTGTTTATATTTTGCAGACATCCTCTATGTAATTACATGGCCTGGCCCCAGGCTGTCAGACTCTGGGAGAAATAACCGCATTATTCCACAGAACAGTTAGCATAATTAAAATATTGACTGCAGATTAAAAAAATGTGCTGAATGTTTCAGAGTGGTTGGAGGGTTGGCGAGTCTTGGCAGCTTGTTGGCTGCAGGAACTGGCTGATATTTAGGCGCGCCTTCTCCTTCGGTATTCATTGCTGTACGTGGGAACTGCGTTTTGTGCTGTCAACTTCTTATCTCCCAAGCAGCCAACCCACAACCAAGAAAAAATGAACTGACTGGAAATGAGGAGCTCCAAGGGCTTTCTTGTGATTCTTACTGCCAGTGAGACCATTTCCTTGTTATTTATGACTTCAGGACATCTGTCTCACTGTGTCTCTATCTATTTTTATTTGTGTCCATCTCTCCAAATGCTTAGTGTAGGAACTGCATATGGTGTGAATGTACCAGGTGATAAAACCATTTGCTTAAGAACTGTCTGTACCATATGAGAAGCATTAATAAAGTTAAAAGCCCACAAAAACCTCCACTGAAACATTTGTTTTAGCTACTATTCCTTCTGTGACATTTGATTTCTATCTGTCTTTCATCTGTAATCAAAGGCTAAAGCATAAAATCCCGATATTTCCACAACCAAGAGGGTAGAAGGGGATGGAAGAAGCCCAGTTGATAAGGCTGGTAGAAACTACAGAAGCACTGATTACTACAGGGCAGTTGGGAAATTCTTAGTGCCTTTGCAATATCTCTCCATTCTCTTTCTTAGAGGAATATCTGGGATAATAAACATTGCTAGAGACACACAGGTTTGGGCTTGAAGGACTTCCTGGTTCTGTCTACATCCCTGCTATCTGGCAAAAAGAGTAAAACAATCTCATGCTACCAATGTTAAACAAAACATGTGGATGATACCTAAACCACTTTGCAAACAACTGCATCCTGAATGAAATGCAGTAGGATCAGTAACTTGGCAAGGTACTGCTTTAAATCAGCTGCGTCTTTAATCGTCACTTCCACGCTTGAGAAATTCCTGGAATGGTAGGAAGTGGTTGAGCAGCAGTGCAGTCTCACAAGTGAGGACAGGGATGGCTGAGCTGACGCTGTTCTACTCCACTGTAGCTTGCAGGGACACGGGTCTGATTTACAGTCTGATATATAGCTCTTTTGAGATGAGCTATTTTTGTGGTCATTTCCATTCCCACTCAAGGGATGTCACAAGAAATGGCCAAGTGCTGTTTGCTGAGACTTCTATTACAGCTTTAAAATACTCATAATAACAAATTAATAGCAGATCTGCCCTGCCATTTTCCATTCTCATCACCATATCTGTAATCAAGAGCAGCTCTACTTCTTCAAAGATAATTTCTGCAATAGTTCTGTTTTGAATACGCAATGAGGAATGGAGCATGATATCTTGGCACTCCAGCTGTGGTCTGTAGGCTACTGCCCTCCTTCTGTGCCAGCCTCATTGCTGGTTTCTGCTATTCAATTAACCCCCAAACTGTAAATCATAAATATCACCCAGGGTAGACACCATTCTTTCAAAGGCAAAAATATATTTTTACATATATTTTAAATCTCTTCTAAATTAAACCCCAAGACAAACTCTGTGGAATGAGACAAAGATGCTCTAAATTCAATACATAGAAAGAGAAATTCACTGGGCATACACAAGTGGGGGAGTGGGAGCAGAGGTAATTGTTACAGCCTTGTCTCTGTTCTGATAGTTCACATGGCCAAGTTTTCAGTTTGTCTCCACTGAATGATTCATCTCTATTACCAGCATTTTCAAAATTAAATGGAAGAGGAGGAATGTGTTCATTCCCCTGCTGTGTTTAATAATCTTCCAAAAATTGTTTCCTGTTTACTTGGAAATCCCCACCTCCATGGTGTGATTTAAGCATTTTCACCCTGTTAACTTAAAAACAAAGCCTAGAAGATGCTGTATAGTTTTTATCTTGCAGTCATAAAGCAATTTATGATAAATGTTGTTGTTCCAGAGAAAAATTACTTGGAAATGTACATATGTTCATAGCTCCACATTGCTCATTTAAGTCATAACGGGTTGTTGAAAAAAAATACAGATTGTCATTCAGTTTTTATTCACGTAACATGTCTGATGGCAGCTTCTCTTTGAACAATCACTGTGTTGGTGCTCAAACACAAATCTCAGTAAAGACATCAATAACCCCATTTATGGAACTGTGCTGCTTGCTTTCATGGTACTGGCTAGCACACAACTGGGAATAGTCAGTACGTATTGTTTCACGCAAGGCTTGCCTATAAGCAAAACTTACAGTGTATGTTCAAGACACAATATTAAAAATACCTAAACTGCTTTTCCAACTGAAGCATTATCTCTGAATTCCTGTGGCTTGGTTGGACAAAAGGGGAAGAATTTTCCCCTTAGCTTCCTCAAGGAATAAATTTGCACAATAGCTCTAAGATTTTACTTACGTAGCACATATCAAACAAACCATTCTTATACAAAAGATTTGCATTAGCTCACACAGGTCAGCGTCTTCTGTGTTAGCTTATATGAAAAGAGTTCATTTAAAAGGCAGCGATATCCCGTGGCCCGAGAACAGAACGGGAAGCTCGGAATCTAGAAGGGACCTGAGCTTTCTCACACTTCCTCTCAGCTTTTCGTAAAGGTCTGAATTTTTCTGGATGAACGTTACGTTTACATGAATAACTTGAGGCTGCATGAGCCTGATTTACAGATATGTTGAATTTCTACGGCTCCTGTTAAAGTTATTGGGAGCTTTCAGCTGTCCACGTTTCAGAAGGCTGTGATGCAGCTACATGCAGCCCTTGGGAAGGAGAGTAACACCAGTACCTTGGTGAGCATCAGGCAGGGACAAAAGCAGGAAAGCAATGGAATAAAGCATAGGGTGTACAGATCAGCCCGTCTCCTTCTCTATGGGCCTAATAGCCCTGATTATCCCATGAGGGATGGCATCAGTGGAGATACTGAAATATTTGGCATCCAGACAGGTTCTGTGCAAGACCAGAGTCAGGAGAGCAGCTGGTAGGAAGAACCGGACTGGCACAGTGAGGCTGAACGCCTTTGGCTGGCATCCCTCAGCCTGGCCACCAGCTCCAGCAATGGAGACTCTTTCAAAGTCTTGCACTGCTTGTCTGGGTGACTGGACTGCATGCTTGTCAGCTGTTGAGCCTCCGTTTGCCTCCCCCTTCTAAGTCTGTGCTGAAGCGTCTTGTCTAACAGCTGGCTCTTCTCTCTCTCCCCCTCTCAGATGAGATGGAGCAGTCCCCTGCAATGCGTTCTGACTACTTGGTCTCAGGGATTCGAACTCCGCCAGTGAGGAGGAACAGCAAACTGGCAACACTGGGCAGGATCTTCAAACCATGGAAGTGGCGGAAAAAGAAAAATGAGAAGCTAAAGCAGACATCTGCAGGTAGGACAAGAGAGTGATGCTGCACAGAACAAGGCTTAGCTTGGGTGAAATTTGCTTACATAAGAAATCTATGATCTAAAGGTAATTCCGAGGTTTCAGTGTGTTACAGATTAATAATATTTAAGGCTAGAAAGAGCCTGCATATGCTGACTTCTTGTATAATACAATACAGTACATTTACAAGAAAAGGTCAAAATATGAGAGTGAAGCACAAGCCTCAACACAGACTGCTTTTCACAGGCTGGCCCTTCTCCAAAATAGGCTACGTTTATGGCCCCAAGTATCATCACCCCTTTTATTTGGGGTGAAGATTATATAGGTCACAGTAACATTATGAAAAGTGACAGGAGGGAGCTACAGCGTGTAAAATGCCTTCCCTCAAGCAGCTGTCTCTGCAGTGAAGGAGCCCAGCACACAGCACTGCATGGTCTCGCTAGTCTCCAGGGATGTCCCAAGAGATCAGTAAGGAGACAAACTCACTAGCCTTTTCCTAAGGTAGGACAGTGCCATTCCCTCCACTTGCCCTGATAACTGTGGAGTGTCACAGTGAAGGACACTGCTTCCTGAGGCAGCTCCATCATGCCGTATTAAACAGCATGAAGGCTCTAATATCCCCGTTACTCCACACTCAGTGTGATCAGACAGTAGGTCAGATCATAAATTTCAGCTCTACGTGTGGGTGATTTTACAGCTTTTTTAACAGAGGAAAAGACACAAACAGGCTGACCAGTCCCTGCTTGCCCTCAAAAAATCCTTGCAATGTTTTCCAAGCTCACAGTAGTTGAGACTGGAGGGAATTTCCCCATTGCATCTTTCTCACTCCATTATATGAATATTCTGTTGTTAACTGGTGCTGTTATGCTACTACTTCATGCAGTGCTGGAGAAGAAGATGACAGCACGACAAGGTCGGGATGAACTCATTAAGAAAGGTCTTCTGGAGATGATGGAACAAGGTAAGTAAAAAATCTTCACCTTTTTTATCAGAGTCTTTTTCAGGACAATAGGAAACACATAATTGCAAAAAGAAGAAACCTAACAATCAAGAATAAAAAGGAAAACCTTCAATCCAAACATAGAGGAGAATTCAGTATCTGAATTAAGCGTGTCTGTCTTCAGATTCCTCCCTGCCGCAATCAATCCATGCAGTTTAATTTTTGATGTGTTACCATCTTGAATGCAACTCCATCTTCACTTGATTTGTTCATGGTGCAGTCTGAGCTGGTACGTGTTTTGTGCCATTGCTCTAAACCTAGCAAAATCCTGCTGCCAAGAAAGTCAGTGAAAGCTGCTATAAATATAAACTTAAACATACAAATACTTTCAGCTGACATGTATGACCCATGAATCCAAATCTCATCAAATGATACTAATCTGATGTTTTCAGCCATCTTACCAGTAAACCAAGTTTGTGACAAAACATATTACCATTTTGCCTGGTTTTCATTCACGTGGAAAAGTGAAGCATTTGGTAGTGCCATTCTAAAGCTTTCCTGAGTACAAACCAACTTCAGCAGAAGTCGCTGAATGAAAGATGGTAAAGCGTCAGAAACATGCACGAAGGACTGTGGTTCTGTATATCCCTGCTCCAAAGTCCTCACAGATGCTCAAGGGAGACAGAGATCTGGGTGACTATTCTGTGAGGTCAAGTGAGCTCCTACGTTACAGGCAACACTGCCATTTCTACCTAAACAGAGATGAAAATAATAAATCCATCTTTACTTTGAAAACTTTGTAACAGAAAGCACTGCCATGAAGAAAGATTGGCCTTTTGAGTTTGACCAATCTGATAGATAGAAATTATGTTCTTTGAAACCAATAATTGAGTTTCTTTGTATAAAACAAATGCCATGCCTATAAATAGCCTGTGGGACAATACTCAGTGATGCTATGCTGGAGTGTAACCGAGCAACTGAAGAGTCAGAAAAAGAGCATTTTAAACAGGTTTGTTTTTTTTTTTCACTGCAGTAAAGCAATTTTCATATTATTTTATCAGCTATTTTAATGTGAGTTTTACGTTCAAGTTAAAAAAATAATCTATCAAACCATCAGCTTATTCTAAAATGGAAGTTTTTAGAAAGCTCATTTTTAATTCCTGTCCATTGAACTCTTTGTGTCTCTTATAATTCTAGATAATTAGTTGCCCTAGAAGAATATTAGCACTATTGGGTAGAAAAATACACCCCATTTCTGCTAGCAGTATGGAAGTTTCCCATAATCCGTGAATTTGAAGACATTCATATCTAGAGCTTTGCAAAAGAACAGTGAAATAAAGCTTCAGTAGACCACATTAAAAGGTGATACTAATAATACGTCAATAAACCTCTTGCAGGCATGAAGAACTGATTGCAAAGAAAATAGGTGGTGCTAAGATGCAAGATCATTTTAACAAAATTAAAATAGTTTAAATAAATACACATAGTCTGGTGAGGAGTGATGACAAGCTGTGCTTTTAAAATGCAGCTGCAAACAGACTGCTCACCTGCCTGCAATAAACTTGCATAGAGCTCCTGTAAACATCAAACAAATTTTCAGCAGCACGCTGCTGCCCAGAAAAGCAGGATAGCTAACAGTCAGTTGAAGGACATTGCAGCCACCTGCAAGTTATTTTTCTTTACGGAGTCTTATGAATCTCCAGGGTTATTTTATTATATTATTAGAAGAAGCAGCTTATTAACTGGAATAAAAAATTGACCCAAATAATTCTCAGTAAATGATTAGTGCCCTATTTGGACTGTGCTGAAGTAGCAGCAGTTTCAAGGCTAAGTCCTCCTTTCTGCAGTAAGTTGCAATTGTCAAAGCAGCAATATTAAGCTAAAAGGCAGCAGTAAATCCTAAAATCCTTCTATTTCATCAGGCTCTACTCCACTTCCAGAGACCTGATTCCTGCTCGCTTTCATAAATAGCCCAGACTGGGACGAAGCTCTAGTCTCAGAAAACTCCAGACCTGCTTCATGCATTTGCAATAGCTGTGTCGCAGTCTGGTTTTGTAGCACAAGATCTGTCAAGAAGCATTTTGAACCGGACCATTCAGCTCACAGCAAACCATAAAGCTGGTGCAGAATCTGCACCAGTCTGTGAGCAGCCCAGGGTGCAATCGCACCGTCCTCGCTGTGGCGAGGAGTCATCCTGCCAGGTTGTGTCACCCTCTCTCCTCACACAACCCAAACCCAGCTGCCCGGACACGCTGCACAGACCAACTGGCACAGCCTGGGCCTCTTCTGTCCTTCTCTCCTCTCCAGCTCTGCTTACGCAGAGAAAACACCAACCTGCCCCTTGAAAACTCCTGCACCTGAAACACAGCTTCACTCTAGGGCACCAGCTTGCACCTTGTAAGAGGTAGTGGGGTGCAGGGTCTGGCATTCAGTGGGATCCATTCCCAACTAAATTATAGCTCCTGTTCTTCTGATTGCTTTGCAATACCCAAGACTCTCTGCTGCTTTCCTTACCAGTGGATCTAAGGGCTGTGCTTTCTCCTGTCCCCAGACTGTCTCTAAAACAAGGCATTGGGGCCCACTGGAATCAAAGCAGCACATCCACTGAGATCTAAGCGTGAGCTGATCACTTCTGACCAGAAACATCCCTGTCGTGAGTCTCAGACACTCCTTGACAGAAATTATTTGACAGGGCTGTCTTCTGCTTGCCGTTACTTCATTAATCATTACGCTTTCCATGGGATCTGAGGGAACTCATGTCTCGGACTGCAGTTTCCTTGTGGCACAGCTGTCAGCAGATTGCCTTTCCATAGGATGTGCAGAACGTGCAAAGCAGAGTTACCTTGAAAACATTTAGGGAGCTTCACCTGATATTTGTCTGCATTGTGAGCACAAAGCTGACCAGATGTAGCTGTGCTTATGGCAGAGAGAGATACGGGCTGCCGGTCAAATATTGCAGGCAGCTGTTAATACACCGATGATTATGTATAGGCTGCCTTCACAATGAGCTGAAATGTAGGCGATGAACTTTTTCCCCCTCCCCTTCCCTGTATCATAGCAACTGTGCTACTGCAGGGGCTATTTTAAGAACAGTAACTTTTCACCAAACGTGATTATGAGGCAGACTGAGCGAGCTCAGCGTACAAAAATACTGCATCCCTTTCGTAGCATCTCTGGGCCAAAATCTGATACCCTTCCCCAAAAGGGCAATCAATTACTCTGCAGATTGTCCAAATAATATAGCTGTGAATGCTAGCTATTTTAAATCAATGGTCAAGAAACTTGTCATGACATTGCAAGAAAGCGTCGCCTTGTCAGGAGCTCCCAGAAAGGAGTGTCTAGGGCTGAGAAATACGAGTTGGGAGGTCAGGAGTGGACAGCAGACATGTCCATCAGCATGGAGCATTGGCTAGAGCGGGAAGTAATTGCTTTGGTTTGCAACAGTAACATAGATCTTGTAAATTCTGAGAGAGTCATGAAGTGAAAGGATAGTTTGTATTCTGAGGACTCTTTCCTGAATAGGAGAAGACGAGAAAAGCTTCAGTCATCAAGATGCGCACAGCTGCAGGGATCGCTGCACAAAAATGTTTCAGAGTAAGCAAAGGGAGCAGTTTCTAGGTCTGCATGCAGAGGGATTTGAATTTCTGATCAGCTCAATCAGACAGGACACGCTTTTCAAAGCTGAGTAACTAAAACTGTGCTGAAAACCCACAGCTTGGGAGGGAATATTAGCAGCTTTGTCCTTGGTAAGGCTCCGGCACTACCGCTGGGGCAGCTGGATGGCAGCGTGTTGTGCATGGAGCCTGGCACAACTCAGATGCCTCAGACCAACCTGTGCATGTGCTGCAACATGAGCTCTGCTCATGCAAGGAATTGCCTCCTGCCAGAAACCTCTGATTTCCCACGCTTCTGCTCATCTCCGATGTAGCAGGTGCTTCCAGAGTATAGTGGCCTTCCTGTACGTGCACAGTGCCCATTTACCCAGGCTGCTGGGTGCCCATAGGAAAGGGTGCCTCATTGAGAAAACTGGGTGGATATTAGTATCCAGATGGGCTGGTCTCCACAAGTTTTGCATTACAGATGCTCAACACTCTTAGAGATCAGGTGCTGATCTAAGACAAATCTCAGTCCCCTGAGGGCTAGCAGCTTTGAGACTCACTCTTCTCAGGGAGTTTCAGCTTTCACTGCTCATGGTTTAGCTAAAATTAAATGATTTGATGTTTTAGATACCGAAGGCAAAGCCTGCACTGGTGACGACAGCACGAGAGCAACGCAGAGTGACCCTCCAGCTCCTGTGTGCCAGGCACTTGCCTCAGAAGAGGTGCAGCAAGAGAGTACAGTAGCAGCCACAACGAATGTGACCTCTCTTGGTGAGGAGCTGCATTTGGATGAGCTGAAAGAAGATGCAGGTATTGGGTATAAAATGTTTTCAAAAAAACTATAAAATATAAAGAAATATTTCTGCTAAGCCACTCTATGAGGAGTCGAATATGTCAGTGCACTAAAGGGTTAGAGCACCTTGTTCAGCACAGCCCATGCTGGGTTGGCAATCAGTACTTAAAACCAGTGATTTTTTGATTTTTGAGACTGCTACCAAACTGAGGGACCACACAAAGCTTTGGATAATGGGATTAGTTGGATTATGAGATGATCCAGTCTTGGCATGGTGCCCCTTTGGTATTAGCAGTGACTGCTGTGAAGCTGAAACAAGCTTCTCTTAAAAACATTTCCTAAACTTCTGTGCCAAGCCTGAAATTGTTTGTTCTGGCTCAAGAGAACAATGTCAATACACAGCCCACACTGTCCATATCATCACCTTGTCTACAACATGCTGCAAGCAGAAGTGAAGTTCAATACCAGGAGCACAGACAAGCTAACCCAAACTCCTTTCATGCAACTGTGCTCCGGTGGAGCTCATCTGTGACAGCAGTTCCTCAGGACCAGAGCAGCCAGGCACAACCAAGCAGATGGAGGGTTTCCGTTCACTTCCTGACAACCAAGAAGTGCAAAGCTGCAGAGACAATGCTTTATCCTGGTTTGTGAGGAGTGCCATCCAGTGATTACAGATCTTCCTGACCTCCGGTCAATGTTTACACCTTCTCCATCTTCCCTGGTTGACTTTTGTTCTCCATCCCATGCCTTCATGACCTGCTTTCTGTGGGGTGCCAGCCACTGGCCACTTTCACCAAGCCCACCCCTACCTGCTGTTGTTTGCTGAGCAGTGCTGCCTGCTTATGCCCTCAACCAGCTTCAGCAGCTCAGAATGGAAATCATTCTCTGAAGCACCTGTCACCTTCTCCATTTCAACTATATGTTATTTCATCAAGAAATATCCCAAAGCACTGTATGTGAGCTTCTAAAGATTTATCCTCTCTCTTCTTTGTCTCTTAAAATAGAGGTGAGATAGAGAATTGGACATGGATAGCTTCTATTAATATCTGCCCTTCACGCTGTTTTCCTTTCCCTTCAAACTCTATCATTTATGGCTGTGTTTGGTTTTGTATCACCCGAAAAAGTAATTGATTCAAAACCCATTCATCTCTCTGTTCTTACAACAACCAGATGAAGATCTTAACCACAATCCTTCAGGCACTACTATTATTAGCAATAATAATCTTTTCTAGAGCATTTCATTCCATATCACTAAGGAAATTTCTCTCTGAACTTCTAATTCTTATCATTAGGACAGGCTATGCTGGAAAGATGGTGCTAATAATGTATCATGCATTTAACCTTATGGTTCTGCAAAATCTAGTACTGTGCTTTAAAATTTACCTTACGCTGCCTTCAAAATTGTGTATTGAGGCTTTCAAAATCATCCCAGTTTCTTCTGTCTCTTTCTCTATCCTAATTCCTTTTATTGCCTCCCTGGCACAACCTTTCATCTCTTCTGTATTTCTTTTCCTCCATTTTTCAGGTGTCTTTTTTCCAGGTGTCAAAAAATACCAGTGGAATTACCTTCTCCTGTCTCCCTGTTCTCTGGTACTCCACTCGTATTTGCTGGAAATCTTCCTATCTCTTTGATAAGTGGCCTCTGGCGTTTAAAATAATTATCGTTAATCTAGTCTTTACGTGCTAATTTATCCCCATCTGTGCATTTTAGCGTTCCTGTCTCTAGTGAGTCCACCTTAAGGAATTCATTGGGTAGGAAATCTCTTCAAAATTGTCAGAGTGCATTGCTAAGTCTATTATAATGTTGAGTTTATTATAGCATTTGTCCTTGGGCTCAATCATTTCATTCATATGAATTTGTGGACCAGCTAGAAACAAAATGAATGTATTTGCTTTATACTCAATATGTCATATTTGATCCTGAGGATGTGGGGTGACAGCCAGGGAGGGGAAGAGAAGGGAACAAAAGGAAATATTTGTAGACTTCATTTTTGGTTAATACATAGAAAAAGGACAGCCCAGGCAGAAGGAGGGCAGTTTCCCCCACCTAACCGAGCCAACGGGCTTGGGAGCAGTCCCAGGGAGAGGATTCCTACCTAGTAGAGAGATGGCCATGAATAATTAGCTACTCTGGCAAAGAGTCTAGTGATGAGCACTTGGAGAATTTTCGGCAGGATAACATTCACTCTGCAGCATGAAATCTGTTCATAGGTTTGGGTACTCAAGACTTGGATCTGCCTTCAGACTGAGTCAAACATGTGCTGTTGTTACCAGCAACAACCACAGAAAAACATCGAAGCACACCGTTCTTTGTAGGGAGTGTAAAATGGACATTCTTTAGATAACAGTGCACAGTGCCAGTTTGTTTTTGTGACATCAGTCGCAGAACAAGAAGGAGTTCAGAAGCAAAAAGACCTGACTAAGGAGTGGTGTGTTTCGGATCCATCTTCTCTAAAGGAAAGGTCCCACTGCAGCTGCTCCACTGCATCTGTGCCAAACAGCACTTCGTGTCACAGGGAGGTCTGCTGATTTTAGTGAAGTTACTGCCAGAAGAAAATATTGCTCTACTCAGGGGAATGCACTCAAACCTGACTAATTTTCCTATCAAGCTACTAACATCTACTGGAGCTCTTGATCTTTGTGTAATGTAACACATTAGCAACTTTATTTTTCTTTTCCTCTATTCCACATTTTGTCTCCTATGCAGCAGGCACAAAAATGCAAAGTGATGTCAGCCTGGAACAAAGCATTTGCCTAGAAGCGTATTTAAAAGAAAATAATGTCCTTCTATAATTCAGGCAACTATCACATATGGCAGCTTTCCTATCAAGGCAAATTTCATAAGAATTCCCGTTAACAATGCATATTTATTCTACTTTCCTGTCTTTTTTGAATGATAAATACTCAGTCCTCCTCTTCTAGGCACATTCATTAATCTATTTGTCAACAAATTAAATGCTATTATCTTGCCAATGCTATTGTTTCCAATTGCCTGAGTGCTCTGGTGCCTCCCCATGCACTCTGAGCACAAGGATGCTGAATGTTCATTAGTACAGAGAGTTTGTATTCCAAACCAGACACAAAACTGAGCCAAGAAAAGATTTGTGATGTGGCAGCTGTGGGGCCCACTACTGTGAGTTTTTAGGAGATGCTCTAGATCGGTTTGGAGAGAAAGGTACTTCCTTCAGACAGTCCATAATGCCAAAAGTAGTGGTATTTGTCATTTATCCAGTCCAAGCAGTTTGGACCTCTCATGCTGAGGAGAGACTTAAACACTGATGTCCCCATTTGGATGACTGTTTCAACTTCTAGGACAGGAAAAATAACCCTTATGGCTACTGCTGAGCCCATAGTGGCTGGAAAAGCAGTTTGGAGAGAGCCTGGCCACGGCTGGAGTCCTGGGTCAGAGTCAGGCTCAAGCCTCTCTGTGGGTCCCCATGTATATGCCAAGGCGGAGATCAGGGCATGTGACACAGTGTGAAAGTCTAACAGCGAGGTACTGTGTGAGTTTAAGCTCTGCCAGAGTCAGCTGGTATTGAGCAGGATTTAAGGATGTTAATTTTGAACTTCATCAGTGGAATTCCACCTATGCTCTGCTTCAACTTTGTGCCTTTCTGGATCTGTTCCCCTGTGCCCTCATCACAATCAGGTCAATTTGATGAACTGCTCAGTGATTCAGTCTGCACTCACTTTAAGAGCTAAGTGCTTTTACCATCTTTCAGGAGACAATCCTGAAATGAGCACTGCTTCACCATCCCAAAATAAGGCTTGAAGTGATTGAAGTTTATCTTAAGTACTTCACCCATTCTCTGTTTCACACTAGCTGCTGAGATCCACTGGCAAATCATTTTTACGGCAAGCTTTTCTTGGTTGTCAACTTTAACCTCAGGAAAGATTCAACAGTTCTGGAGTCAGGTGCAGTAAGAGAAGACTTGGGATACAAGTTGAAGTCATGTATTAAATAAGATAAAAATTAAATTGTCAAAGTAAATGTGTACAACAAACAGTTGGAAAGTCAGCTTTCGTGCAACATTACTGGTTTGATACTCTTTGCCCTTTGGCTGTGTGTTCCTAGCACAGATGAGAACTCGCTCAGTAACTGCCACTGCAGTTGCATGCTGTAAGAAAATTCATTACAGTGCTCAAAAGTTGCTTTTCCTTGCTGTCTTCATTATTGAAAAAAAAAAAGAAAACTGAAAAAAGGCTTTAAAGAAATAAGGGAAGCTCAGCGTTTTTCTCAGGAACATCAAAACTAACATTTCTTCAGTGTCCTCATACATTTTATTCTTTACCTGCCTTGGTTGGTTGGCTATTTCACACAGTAATTATTTTCATTATGGAAAAGAAGTGCTTCTAGCTGTATGTCATGTGTTCTGTTTTTCTGAATGTTCCTGGCATTGTCCCCTGGCCTATCATTATTACTAACTTCATGTTCCATTAATTTTACTCGTCTCTCTACTAGCCAAGAAACCTTCAGCACCCATGGAAGAATTAGAAGATGCCAGCCTGCCAGCATCTGAAGACAGTCCACAAGCCTTACTTGTATCTGAATCCACAGATTCCCCCCAGAAACAGACAGAAAGAAACCCAGCACAGCTTCCCAGCCCTCCGTTGCTCCCAGCGCCACCACCTAAGGCCATCTCCAAAATCACAAAGAGCATAACAGGTCAGTGATTACTGCTCAGTAAGGATTTTTCCATCCCTTATGTGTTGTTCACCTACACAGCACAGTATATAATTTTTTTCTTACATCTTTTTTTAAGCCTACTGCCACAAACTGCTGTGAATCGGGCTGGTTATGTTGAGTGAAGGGAGTGATTTGCATGAACTGAGTGGTCTTGTTGCCTGATAACAACGCACTGATCTTTGTACTTCACACATTTATCTGAATGTCCCAGGGGATTGTTTGTTGTGAGTCTATTGCACTAAACACGTGTAAAAAAAAAATCAAACCAATTGCAAACATCTGCTGAATGAGATGCTCATGTCGATATGCCATAAAACACAAAGAGGACTTAAATGTTTTCATTACCTAGACCTCTGCTGGATAACAGCACACAGCCAAAATCAAGTTCAAGTCAATAGGTCGTGTAGAGATTTCTGTCTGAAGCGTTTGCTCTCCAGGGTAGGTCTAAACTAGAGCTATGAAATCTGGTCTAGCTGCACAGAAGCCATGTAAGTGATACACCTGGCTCCCACGAAGCAATCCTTTGTGCCGGACTTCATTGAATGTTTCAAGAGCAATTCCTCTGGGCCTGATTTTCTAATGTATTGCCAATGTTGTTACATTTCCCAACATTCTGGCACTGTAGAAAAGGTGTTAAAGTGAACATGATTTTAGTTCCAATTTCAGGGCCCCTACATATGGTAAAAGCAGTTAAAAGGGCCTTATTGCAAATTGGAATCAAGTCCTGACATCTAAATGTCAGACCTGTTGGATATTTAGACTTTTAAATGACAGCCATTGTCTCAGCCCTGATTTGCATCCACACTCATCTACTGGCACAAAGAACAGGGTTTTCAAAGTCACCAGGAAACAAAATATCAGAGGGGCATTGTGACCTGACCACTGGAGTTCATAGAAAATATTGGGGTTTTGGATCTTTTTGAGGAAAATTACAAGTATTTGTTTCCCGTGGAAAATATCCATATTTTGTCCGTGCTTAAAAGCCATAAGAGTTTAAGCAGGAGCTGGATTCAAAATGGTATAATGCTTCTTGGAAGCTGCTGTTCAGGTTACTTCAACATTCTGTGCTACAGGTCAGGCTCTCGCCTGCCTCTTCCACCTTCTGACGTGAACAGCCACAACCAAAACACCCCTTTGACTTTGCCCGACCTACAAGAAGGCGATACTCTGCATGAGATGTAGGCTATTGAGAAAATCTAACCCACCGAGGGTGATGAGATTAGAGCTCCACCGGGCACTTCACAGTGTTTTGAGTCTAAATATTTTGCTGCTTAACCAAAGTATTTCCTCTGACATCTAAGGTATTCTGAGTTTTGGTATTTCATTCTCATCTAAATTTTCCACACAGAACAACTCTTCGTTTTCTCAATGACTCTAATAATTATAGACCCTTTTCCAATGCTGATTATACATTTATTTTTGTGTGGATGTGGAGGCAGTGGTAAGTTAAGAGTAAACAAATACTGTAAATGAGTGAAAGGGAATACAAATGTATGGGGAGAGAGAAACAAAGAGCAATTATGGAAGAAAAGGAAGAGGTTGAAAAGCTCTTTTGTGTTTAGTTTTTTCCCCCTTAACAATGTCAGAGATGCTGTTAGCAGAAGAGTGAGGAATAAGCCAAGTACCAATTAATCACAGAGAGAGGGGGAACAGGGCAAGGTGCCAAGACATCACTTTGCAAGATTATTCACTGAAGGGCTGTCATCAGGACAAATCAGGTGTGATCTAAGGAAGCTCTCCACTCTCAATATTGGCCCAAGCTGCAATGAGGACAAAATTGGCCCATGACCTGTTCCAGGAACAAGCAGGTATAAAGATAAAACAAAGTCTCGTCCCTTCCTGTTTTAGGGTTGAGCTGAACTCAGGGTTCTTGCTCTGAGAAACCATGGACACCCTCTCCCACTGTGCAGTGGTATAAAGTGACTTAAGAGCTGTTTTTTCATCCGCTCAGGCCATGATTCAGTCGGCAATGACAGATCACAAATGTCCTCTGTGCATTCCACAGCAGCACATAATCAAAATCCCCGTGAGTGCCAAAAAAACATCTTTGCTTATTAGAGGTTGACTGTCTTCTGGGTACAGCAATCATCCTGATCTGCACAGGAGGAGGTCAGGGGTGGGAAGGTGTCTCGTTGCCAAGACAATGCACACTGGACACCTAGACACCTGAAGAAATGTCCTTGTGCTTTCAGACATTTCAGATTTTAAATAGGACATCTTTTGGACTAGCTTGACCCCTGTCTCCTGAATGCATAGACAGATGAATGAAGCTGTCATGATTTGTTAAGGTTCTGGGTTGGAGGGAGAGAAACGTGCAAAAACGCCTTCCAAAATTGAAAATAATGTTAGACCTTTTTTAGAATAAGAGAGAAGATTTTACTGTAGATGCAACTCTCCTCATTGAAGGATACTGTCCTCCTCACCCCGCAAATGTCAAAAAGAGACCAGGCTTAGTGTTGTCACTCTCAAACTTTCAACGTTTGATTTTGGTTATGGCTACAGGAGCTCTTCTTCCTACTTGGGCTTTTGCTGTTGTCCTCAGTAATTCTGCCCTCCAACCTCCATAAGCCCAGCTCTGTTTGCAGTGCTGCCCTTATGGGGCTGGACCAGATTTCCAGCAGTGAACTACAGAAAAGGCATGTACTTGGTAACCATCATGCAGGAAGTTGGGTCTGAGAGGAAATCTTAAATAACTCAAGTGAATATTCAAACCTACTTTTGTCCTCACCAGTTTTCTAGTAAGTTACCCTGGTAATAGGATCCAAATCCTTTTTACATGAGTATTTCAGGATAATCCTGGACTGAGCAGTTTTTCTCTGTTATGAACTGAAGGATCTAAAAAGTAAGTGAAAAAAAGAAAATATTTTGTGAAAACAAGTTTGTACAAAAGCTCTACATGCTGTGCCAGTTTAAATTCCTGTTTAAAACACTAGATGGCAACAAGAGAAAAGAAATACTCTTTTATATGAAGAACTCATTGCCTTTTCACACCCAGACTGAGCTACTGGTGTAAACACCACCAGATGCCAGAGGATTGGGATGGAAATAAAAGGGTAAGGGAAAAGGGAAAGAAAACTGCAGAACAGAAAAACCAATCAGCATCTTTTTCAGGCCAGATGTTCAGTTATCTTAAGAGTGTGAAACTACCAAATTTACAACCACGGAAATGACCACTGTGTTCTGGACTCAGGTGCTAGAGAAATGTATATATGAAAGTCTATTTTCCAATGAATTGCTTACATTACATAAGAAATATTTGAATCTGGGGGCAAAAGAAGATTAGATTGCTCCATCCTTCTTTTTTCTTCTTAGTGCTCAATACCACATCTTTCATTTGAATTTCATTTGGCAAGTTATGTTATGTGAGCATTATCCTCATATTATAATGATTTTGGCATTTCCTCAACTGGCATATGAAAGACAGAGGTCTGAGCTGTGCAGCAAGCACAGAGGAGCAGATAATAGACACTGGTACATTTTGTCCTGACTGGGAACCACAGTGCATAAATTTTAATACAGTCTGCCAGAGTCCAGCAGAGAAAGTGCTAGATCAGAAAGGCACTGCAGTACAAGCCACTGGTGGTTAGGAGGAACAGTACTGGCAATCGAGAACGCATTGGTGGGCTGGGAAAAGGAGAATCTGATAAAAAAATGGGAGAGGCATCTGTTTCGCTAGATCGTAATCTGGACCTGTGTACTATGAGCCTTTTGAATTCAGTTACTCAGCTTAAGCAGTTACCTCCTAACAAGAACAAAACATCATCATTTTCCACTGTTCAACACGACAAATTAATTTCAGTGCAGACTCTGTGTGCAAAAAAATAAGAAGCATTACACAACCTCTTACCCTCTTGTGTTTTGACCGCAGGAAGTGAAATAGATGACCCAGTCATGAAATCTCCTCCTTCCACCATCCTGAAGAATTATGTCATTGTTGGTTCCTCCCAAATCTCAGGACAAGCTGCCCTCTTCCATCCCTCTGGCCAGAAAAGTTCAGATGCCCATGTCAGAGGACAGGTAACAACTCCAACTGGTTCCCCTCACCTGGCTGCTGTCCACCTGCCTTTACCTCCCAGCAGAGTCATTGAAGAACTCCACAGGGCTCTGGCCACCAAACACCGGCAGGACAGGTACCTACAGCCTCTTGGCTATATGGGTGCATGAGGAGAGTCATTCCACTAAATCATTTTTTTCCTGGGAAATGTTCCTACTCTGTTATTAGCATTTTATTTGCTCCTACAGCTTGAGTTTGCCTTCCTCTTGATGTCACTACTTTGAATATCCATCTCTGGTTAAAGTGCTTAATTTGGCAGTCACTTCAAAGTATGTTCTTCCTTTATAAGGAGGCTACTGTGACATGGAAGTAGGTTTCCAAACAGGTCAAATACTTTGATAATCCTTGACTGATTGCAAAAGAAAATCTGCTCACCGGATACCAAGTTAGAGTAGCTAGGGTGTATCCTGCTCTAAATATCATTACTCTGCAAATGAGAAAAGCTACTAATTCAGTATCTGTCTCTTGGTTTATACCTAAGCATATACAGTATCCATTTTTAATACAAATGCTTGTGTGGGAGCACACTAGGTGCTTTATCTGGTTTTCATTATAAGCCCTCCTGTGCGTTGGAAGAGGACATATAACCTTTTCCATCAGAGCTTTGGAGTAACTTAGTAACGTTTCTCAATTCCATTAACAGCTATTGTCATGGGGAATAGATTCATATGATATTATTTTCAGGACCTGTTAAACCATTGTCATGATCATAAAATATCAGAATGGTAATACTTCATGTCGTGTGTGTTTTACATTAGAAGGACGTGCTGTGTGGGTTTTTTTAATCAGTACAGTATAACATGTGTCTATATATCAAAGAAACACATTAGTCCCTACCCTTCCATACCTTATTTTTGTGACAGAGATAGATCTGCAGTAGCCATTTTCAACAGTCTTGGGAATACCATTCTGTGTTGTCCCATGTTGAGCTCTCTGCCCCAGCCTTTACAAGCTACAGGGCATTCTCCTCATTCTCATGTCATGTTAAGTTCCTCCTGCAGCAATAAACCAGTCTTTTGTAAAAACTGGGCTGTGCACCTTCCACCCACAGCTTCCATGGAAGAGAAAGCAAAGGCTCTCCAAAAAAAAGAGTGGATGTCCGTCCATCCCGAACATCTAGCATTGAGCGCAACAAAGAAAAGGAGAACTCACTGAATTACAGCAGTGATTCAGAAAATAAGCGGAACTCAGTAAAAGAGTCGGATGAGAACAAAGAAAACATGATTATGAACTCAGAGCTCAAGGACGACTCTGTTTTTTATCAGGATGAGGAAGTTTTGAATGATTCCGTTATTTCTGGTAAGGAAAGTCACTTACTATATTATAAAGATGAACTATTGTAGCCTGACTGAACACTCTAAACAAGGCAGCATGCAGAAAATATCGAGCAGTATAAATTCCTCTATTGTCATATCAACTTTTTCAGGGAATCCTGATGAAAAGCCAAAGTTGAATTTGAGTCACAGTGACTGGGATCGTGTTTGTCTTGGCAGGTACTGCACACTACGGTGAGGTTTAGAGTTATGTCGATAAGTTGGTGTATCAGTACGCTTCACCCTTTCAGCCACTTACGTACCCTTTGAACTGCCACGGGTGAATGGCAACACTTGCAGCACATCTCACTGTCAGTAGGCAAAGCTTTCTGTATACCCGGTGCCGATGCCAAGGATGTGTTGGAATTGTCCCATTTTAGGACTATTATTCTAGGGCAGTGATGGCACAGTGAAAAGTGGGAGAGATCAATGAATCCAGGAAGGACAAAAATCCGGAGAAAATACCTTAAAGAAGAAAAGTTGCTTCTCTATTTGGTCCATTTTACCCTTTCTTGAGACATATAATAATCCTGAGCAATTATTTAAGTGGACATTGGCAAAATAATCAGCTGTCATTATAAAATTTATTTTTAGTTCAAGATTTTAATGTTTTCCATGATAACAAGACAAAGATTCAGTCTGAAATGAATCCTTCAATCTCTTCATCAATGCATTAAAAGAAGGCAGGCAGAAAAAAAAATCATCAAAAAATGATTGTTATAGCCGATCAATGATGAATTTTGAAAAGTGCCTATTAGAAAGTATAAGGCAGCAGACAGGACACGAGTTCTGCCCTTGTGTCTTAAGACACCTAATAACAGAATTGACTACTGAGGCAAGTCAAAAGAAAAGAGAATCTCCTGCATAATTGCTGTGCATTTCAGGGTAACTTAAAAAGTAAAATAATCTTGTAAGTTCTATCTCTTTTTTTCTAGCTATGTGTTGTTCCCAATTATAAAAGTGGTCTCATTTGGTATAAATTCTAAGAGGTAGAGGCATCCAGGCAGAAAATGTTATCCCCTACTAGTAAAAACAAATCTGAATGTTTTACTGTTGAAGATGAATACTCTAAATATTCAACAAATAATTATTCACTGTCTGCGAAGAAAGAAATTATGATGATAGAAGTGCATTGGTTAAATAAATTTTTGGATAATATGTGAGTACTACAAAGATGTAAAAGCTGGATGGAAAAGCTTGTAGGGCTAATTGGTGAATATAATGAGATGAGGCTGATATGTTCTTGAATGTTTTAGTGAATAAGATTAACGGCCCAAATTTAAAATGTCACAGGCCAGAACCAAAACAGACTTGCTTCCCTGGTCCTTGTGATGGTGTGCTAGTGATAGAAGTGCATTTGTAGGTTTGTAGACAGCCAGCTAGATGCCTTATCTAAAGGGCTGAAAACTCAAAGTTTTGTTATGAAATTAAGTGCTGCAGTAATTGTATACAGATTAGTGTTTATCTGCAGATGTACACTGAGGGCAAAAAGAGCAAAGACGGTTTATCATTTGATAAAGATGCCCCAGATATGAATACAACCCCTTTTTCCATGCAAAACACATTCCAACTTCAACAAAAGTAAGTTTTAGGAAGAATTTTCTCTCATTTCTTTGTTTGTAGCAACACAGCCCTCTTCTTCATAGTTAATTTAGTCTCACCCTTTGGCATTCGAGTTTCTTCACACCTAAACTTCAGCCTCTGCACCAAGAAGCCCATTCCATGCACCCCTAAAACTTAATTAAGTCATCATAAGACATGAGCTTTATGCATGAGATCATTTTATTTAAAATGGCTGAAGATCATTGTGGACTGCCTTGCCCTTGCAGGTTGTATATGTGCATTTACAAAAGACCTGATTTCTTATACGAACCTGGTGCTTGCTCTGCTGATGTTCAAGTTCAGGCTCATTTTAGGGGCGTGACAAAAACCGAGGCCATGCAAACTTTCAGCTGCTTGATGTCTAAGGAGGCTGCTGTGGATGGGCACATGGCAAGCTGGGCAACACAGCCACTTAAACCACAGTAGTCCTGGTGTGGGATGCTCTAACCTCAGCCCTTCAGGAGATAGCCGCTTTGGGGATGCAGCCAACACCCATTTACTCAGCACAAGCTGGGACATAATACGGCATTTCTGGTCTTGACACTGGGTGGCACTGCTTGTGCCAGCGTTCATTCAAATGCATGCATTCGCGTCTCAGAGAGGAGCGAGAGCTGCAGTGGAGACAAGGGATCGCACCAGAATGATTTCCTGAAAAGCTCCAGATTTTTTTCTAATTTAAAAAACCTGGACTGGTCTGCAAGTCAGATGGTAAAACTATCCATTAATCTGAAGTTGCTTTACAATCTGTGTCCTGCCTTGGCACGTCAACAACTTTGCTGTTGCTATCACGATGCAGAGCGGTGCATCGGTGCAACAGCCCTATGGTTACAGGAAGATTGGTACAGGTCACAGATAACTCTGGAAAAAGTGAGGAATTGTACCTTGGCTTTCCATTAGCACCCTACTCAATAAATCATTGTTTGAAACCTCCAAAAACACAAGGCAAGACTGTAGCCTTGTGCACGGGTTTAAAAAATAACATAAGTAGCGTGTAGGCCACAACTGGTAACCAGTGCAAGCAGGGTCTTTCCGTAAGCACGCAGTGTTAGGATTTGCCTTTTGCTTGACAGAAACAACAGTAAATATACAGGAAATTAAATATCATGGTTCAGTTGAATTAAAACAGGAACTTTTGTCAGAAACCTGCAGAACAAGCATGAAAAGGGTGAGAATTTTCAAAGCATTTATTGTTGACCTAGCTGAGGTGCCATAAATCATGAAACAAGCCACAGCCAAGATCCTGCCTGAGATACCTTGGTCATGGGGCAGACCAGCATTGAACACGCCTTATTGACCAGGAAAAATAACCCTTAGGAAGAAAATAAATAAGGGTATTTGCAGGTTCACTTTCTACTGAGATAGTGATCAGGAAGGAATTTGCCTCAGGATGCTGAAAATAGATGTAGGAAAACTAGTTTGGGGCTTTATTTCTTCTTCTCTGATTTTGTTGTATTTATTTGTTTATTAATTCTGAAACATCAGAAATGAGTTTCTGCAGGAGGTGAAACAACAGAACTGGCCATCAGTGGGCTGGTCAAGATGAAAACGGATGAATTGCACAGTATTTCCCAGCGTGTTTTCCTGAAGGGGATAACATGATCTCCGTCTTTTCACTTTGTAAGGCAGGTATTATTTTTCAGGAATCAACACAATTGGTCAGGCATGGGGAGTGGCTCCTTAGACCAGCAGATCAGCTTAATCCAGATCTCTTGCATTTTTATTTGGTGAAATACCCTAAAGATTAATCAGTGCACAGTGCATATGGACCACGGGATTGGCTATAGCATAAGCCTTTTAGAAATCCAAACATCTGGATGAAGTGAGCACAGCTTATCCTGAGTGGGTTATATGCTCTCCACTCCTCTAATACAACAGCAGGATTTGGGTTGAAGTTGAGATTTTTCAGATATGATTTGTGTTTTTAATTTCACAAAGTAGTAGACTCTTTCAAAGTGTACAGCAGAGCAACCTGGGAACAGTCAAGGCCCTGAAAAGTCACTTCGTTTTACTTTGTTTCGAGTAAAATGTTGCATTGTTCTGTCTCATTTTGAAATACAAGCCTCTAGGGCATACCCTGGGCTACCTTTAGCCAATGTCTGCACATCAGCTTCAAAACCTGACTCCTTGCAAAAAGGTCCAGCCTTTTACCTGCAGAGCACTGGTTTCAGCTGGCCTTCAATGAGATGAGGGACAGCAGAAAACAAGCCCTGACCTCATCTGAGCGAATAATCACTGTGATTCTAGCCCTTGTCCTCTCTCAATTCAAAGATCAGGTATAGTGTGGTATGGCAAGTAGTTTTACAGCAGCTTGAAGGGAGTAGAAATAGTCCTGCACGCTCATACTTTGTCACCAATGAATGGGAGAATAACTGTTTAGGGTGCATCACCGAAATAACCTGTGTTGACCAACTCATAGAGCTGCCTTGTTCCTTCAGAACAGTTCTGGTCAGAGATGGACACGTGCTGTGTAGAGCGTACATGTGTTGCTTTCGGTGCACCCAAGATGCACTGAGCTGCCTGCAAACGCCCCGCGCAGGTGGCCAGCACGTGGGCAGCATGTCTGCCGTGCGCTGGAGACATGAGGCTCCATGTGCACATGCAGTCTCTCTGCAGCAATCTCCTGACATGAGCAAACTCCTCTTATCGCCTGTTTAAAATTTCCAGATGAAAAAGAGAACATGTTCAGGGATACTCAGGAGTTTGCTAGCTCCACATGTGCTCCAGGTTTTTTCCATAAGGAATTCTGTTGGTTCCTGGGCTATACGGATCGAGCACTGCAAACACTCACTCTGCACCCGCTCCCAGTGAGGTGGAGGCTTGAAAAACCTTGAGAGAGTCCCAGTCCTGTGGCTTTGTGAGCCAGGTGTTTCTGCTGGAGTCATATATTCAGTTAGCAGAAGGCTCTGGGTGGCAGCAGCCAAATGGTTTAACTTCTTTATCCCTCTGTTAAATGTGTGCCTGCCGCTTCAGAAGGCCGTGTGCTTTGTTCGTTGTGTTTGCAACAGACTTTGAAAGCATTAGGAGGAAGGTGATAAACCAGGGTGCAGCTTTTAGACTCTAAGCAGGGTTTTGAGCTGATTATGCATTTTAAAAGTTTAACTTTACATCACTGCAAATGTCAAGAGACTAGTCCTCGTTCACACAGGGAGACCATAACTGTTCTCTACCCCAGTCTTCCCAACGTGTATGTGTGAATGTGGTGTAGACTCCTCCCCTCTGCATAAAGAAATTTGAGATCCATAGTGATGATAATAATAGCATAGGCCCACAGATCCCTAGCAAATAAAACCCCAATATTTGGGAATGAGAATCTATTTAGGATTTAGTATCTCGTGAACCTCCAGAGTATCCTTTAAAAAAGATACCTTAATCCTATCTCAAATGCCAAACAAAAATACCAATTAAATGTCATTTTCTTCAAAAATGAGGTGACCTTTACTAGAAAAGGTGAGGCATTAAATAAAAAAAGCACCTTTAAAGTAAAAAGGAACCAAAACAAAATAACGTCCTACTACACACCATGCTCCCAAGATGAAGCAAATGCAAAGATTTAACTGTAGCTCCTGTGTACCCTGACAATTCTCTGAACCCCATCTGACTGGTGCTAATCTGCAATGATAGTTTTCAGACTCTGCTGGAGCCCTGGGCTGGACACCAGTAAGAGCCAGTACAGCACAGCAGAGGTGTGCAGAGGTCTGGTGTAAATTTACTTGCTTAGAATCTACCTGTAACATGTTTACTGGAAGACTGCAGTCCTACCAGTATGACTCAGCAGCTCACTGGTTTTAATAGCACTTCCCTCTTCTTCTCCCTCCATCATAAGCAATCTACCCCTCACCGAAACAGACATCAGTGCAGACTTTCAATCCGCATTTGACAATGAAGATGGCTTTCTACTCTGTAAGCAGTTTAAGTTTACAGCCACTTTATTCCATACTTTTACAAACACACAGTAAAATGGCTTTATAAGGTCAGGAGTCTAATTTTCATTTGTTTAGCCTGCTGAAGTCGAAAGAGTTCCACCAGAGATACAGAAACACTTATGCTCAAATTCGGTCTAGTAAGAGTGAGAGAATGTCTCCAATGTCATCAGAGGGGCAGCATCAAGGACTCAACATCCAGCACACCAAAAAGCAGTAGACTCTTACTCAAAACAGTTGCTCCATGTTCTCCTATGAACAGTTCTTTTGTAATGACAATTCTTTAGGTTCTCTGGTTTGATGGAAAACGTGTTATATTTTTATGATAAGCACAACAGGTCATGCAATCACGGTAAGTATTTGTGCTTCTTACTGCTCGAATGCCCAATTAAGTTGCCAACATTCTGCAAATCATCATAAAACCTGGCCTATTCTTTCATTCCTTGGAATATTTGCCCCTGCTTTCTTCAGAGAAAAAGTCAACAGTATAGTCTTGATTGCTAAATGAAATTCTGTTATGACACACTGTCACACTGGACAGGATGTAGACATACATAGTGGCCTACGTTTAGCGTTAAAGTTACACACGGTGTTCGATGACAGTTGTGATTTTCTAATTTCTAATGCCAGAAAACCAGAATGACATTTTTTATATATTTTTATATGTATGTGTGCATGTGTACCCATGCCAAATAACAACTTCAATTGTTTCAGTTACCGTAATCTGTTCCTGGTTCTGCCTGGTGACCCAGAGATAAAGGTGTACATGTCCCAGCCACTCCTGTCACTGACCAATCCAGTCCCTCTGCAAAGGAACCACGAAATGGTTCAGGAAATAGGTATTGCTCTGGGTCATAGGGATGCTTAGAGGACTGAGGCAAGATGTATAGCCTTTCACTTCTAAACTACTGATGTGAATCATGTCTCAGCTCCAAATAATTTTCACCCGAGAGTACTGCTTTCTTACAATGGGTAACAAAGATAACAGAGGAATATGATCCCTCTGCATTTGTAATCAGTTTTGGTCCTGAGCCCTGCACAACTGTAGTACTACTTACTTATTTTTATGCATTCAACTGCTCGTTGCACACTAACATACAGATCGCTGTTGCTCTGTAGGTTTCCTGCTCTTCACATGTTCATGTTTCATCTCCAGGAGCTGTCTTTCTAATAACTTTCTTTTCAATGCATGTCCCAGGTACTTTGCCAAGAAAATGCAAGAAAGAACTGCTGGCAGTAAAACTACGAAACAGACCAAGTAAGCAGGAGCTGGAAGACAGGAATATTTTCCCAAGGAGGACAGATGAGGAAAGACAGGAAATTCGGCAGCAAATTGAAATGAAACTCTCAAAGTAAGTCTACGTAAGAACTGGGAGGAACCTCACTTTACAATGGAGTGTCCTCTGAGTACTGTCAGACAAGACACTGTCGCCCACCCCCAAGTCCATTTCCTGCAGTGAATCATACGCAAACTAACATAGCACATTTTCAGCTGTTAATCAGCCACATGAAAAAATGCTGAACTCCCTCTTCAGTCAGGATTCCCTTGATTTCAGTAGAAAACAAGACAGAAGTCCATCTGGGAGTCAAAATTCTACCTGCAGCTCCACTGATGTAATGGAGGTTTTGAGGTCCTCCAGGAAGGCTAGTTCTTTAACAAAAATAGTAATATAATTATTCATTAACCTGATTCTGCTTTGTCAGCACTAGTTGAATTTGAGGATAAAGGCAATTGTTAGAGCTGCATATTTATTCACTGGAACAAGGGAAAGCTGCTGTATGCATTGGTGGCTGTATTTCTGCTTTAAGGGAGAAGCAACTTCAGCAGCGTTGCCCTCACATGGATAAGGTGTTTGTCTAAGCCCAGCTGCAGGGATGGCAGGGATGCTCTGGTTTTGATCAGTAACCAGGGCAACAGGGTAGAGCCATGAGAGACCCAGCATTACTGTGGCATGTAGCCTAAAGCAAAGATTGAAGGTAACAGTGAGGCTCAGACTGCACCATTAGGTTTTTGTGTGTGTTTTTTTACAAGCTACATTTGGATATCTGCAAACATGAATATTTTAGATGAGACAAAGTGGATTGTTAAATAATCTGTGCTGCGCCTGCCCACATTGGGACAGTGAACACTGCTCGCTGCCAGAATGCTTGGAATCAGATTGAGAAACATGAACAGAAGTTCATTTTCAAGGCTTATTAAATATTAAACATCTCAAGCCTCTCCTGAAAGAAACATTTATTGATTTTTAGGCTAGCTCATTCATGTGTGTGCATTTGATTAAACTTTTACCTCAGGGGACAGGGAATGAGAAGCACGCATATGGATCATATCACAAGTCCTAATGGACCGGAGTTTAGGGAGGAAAACACCATCACCACACTTGTTCTCAGCTAAGAAACAAGCTGCTGAATGAATATAAATGAAATTTTGGATGCACTTCATTATACCCCTGCAAAGTTGGAGATGGAATAATCACCTTCCTCCAGTCTCAGTGACTGCTGTTTATACTTTGTAGAAGGTACTGCTTTACACCCAAAGGAGAACAGTGCATTGCACCAGTGATTGCACAAGACAGAGCAGGTAACAGTCCCTGTTGCAAAAAACTTGTACATCCCATACGCATAGAAAACACCACATTACCATTTACATCAACTTTCAAGAGTTGCAGGCAGAGCAAGTCATAGATATGCCACATTAATACCCATCATCTTAGGAAGGAAAGTGTCATGGACCTTGATCATGGCCTTGATCGTCTTGACCTTGCAAGCCTTGTGTATTCATTTCAGGGAAATATTTCAAGCTGCACGCCGATACTGTTAATTCCAGTATTTTGGCTACTCAATTGCTCGTGAAATGTCTTCACAGGTCAGGAGCCTAATTTTATGGCTCTAAAATACACAAAAAATTGTTTCCACCCCACTCTGTCCCTGAAACCAAGTTAGACCATCACAGAATATTCACCGAGATTATCTTATATCCAGCCACACCTCATGTTGCTGAAATGCCTAGGTGACATGATTTTCAATACAGCCTGAATTCTCTCAGTGTCGAAGGTCTAATGGAATTGCAGCTTCAGGTGGTATAACTACAGGCTTTATCCCTTTCTTTTCATTTACTGTTTAGCTTGCTCAATAATGAGCCTAAAGAAGGCATACCTGAAGTCAAGTGTTAGCACAAGGAGTTTAAAAGGAAACTGCTCTACTGCTGAAGAAAAGGGCTGGTCATTACTAAAAACTAGGTAATGCACTGTCTATAGTTAAATGCAGAGAAAGAAGCCTCCATACAGTCTGCCATAGTCTTATGGAGCAATTTGTGGTGCAGGCTATTAGTGTCATTGGTAATGTCTAGAATATGGCTCAAAGCCATCTTTCTTCCAAGTGCTGGAAGACAGGCTTTCATTTAGCTCCTTCCTCCTGGAACATGGAAGATTCAGCACATCTCGGGGAACAGACGGTGCAGAGATTGCTGGAATAGTCAGGCATGGCAAAACAGATTGGAAGCAATCTCCCACACAACTTCCAGCACATATGTGCACTGGCAGAGCTCAGCTCTTAACTCATCCGTGAGCGTAGAACATGACTGTGCAAACAAGCTCAGGTGGTAGATGCATGCAGGAAAACATTCGCCGCAGGAAAAGCAAGTATGTGTCCATAAAAGAAAGAAAGTGAAAATGGGCACTGGTAAAGGCCAAAGAGCCAAAGCCCTAGAGATATCTTTCTCGAGTTTCCGACTAGGTCTCACCACCCAAAACCCAGACCACTCCAGAGTCCTCACTCAGAGCACAACCTGGCAGTAGTGTGGAAATGTAACCACACTGGGCAGAGTGAAAATCTTGCATGAAATTTTGAGGTCTTTAAATCCTTTCATTTTACTGGTACTTGTGCAGCGTAGTCTCTTTGTGACAACTTGGAAGTTTTCAGCTAAGGAAGGTACTGCTAAGCATTCAGATACGAAGCACCGACTGGGAAATGAGATCAAATAGAAATGCCTGTTCTCTATATGATTTTGCATAGTAAGAGCACGTTGCTGCTGCACTAGTAACACTTTGATAACAGCGATGGGACTTGCTGGCTCAGTTATGGATCCACAGGTACCATCAGGTTATAGACTCGTGCTTTAGTACGCAAGAATAACGTACTTCAGGCAGATTAGCAAGTAGTTACTCGACGGCTGTCTGCATAAGAACGGCAACTAAACAGGCAGTTGTTTTAAAGATCAATATTTTTCAGCATGTTTATAGGGATTTGAAAGTCTAGAGCTCTCTAACACTTTGCCTCACTCTCACAGATGACACAGCCTAGCTCTGTACTCTGGAGGGAAAGCTGTGCTGATGTATATAATGTGCAAAATATACCAAATGATAGCGTCTGCATAACTTCAAAAATGGGGAGACGAAAGAAAAACATTTTCTCAAAACCGCTGTATTTTTTGAACGGTTCAGGTTGTAATACATTTCAACAGCAGTTGTAAATCCACTGCGAAAACTCTCTGATATCATGCTGAGTGGTTATGCAGTCAAAGCTAAAATCCCTATTTTTCTTCACTTTCCCACTCATTCCATCTCAAAAGAGAAATTGAGGAATTCTGTTTTATCTTTTGGGCCAGATTCTACTTTTACAGCAGTGCAAGTCCACTGACTTCAGATTTGTTATTGACTGACAGCAGGGCGAGTACAAATTCAAGTATTCATTTATGTGCATTGCTGCTTTTGAAAATTGTATTTCCCATATTTCGTGCTCCCAGCCAATTTAGTCTACCACTTGTTGCCATAGAAATACGTGCTTCTCCCTCCTCCTCCACTCAAAATGGCAGTATTCCATTTTCCCCAGATTCCCCTTTCCAGTAATGTTTTCTCTTACTAATTCATGCATCCCCAGTGCCCCAGGCCATGGCGTGCATTTGCAACGTTCTGCTGTGCATTAGGCAGCAAGGCCCCCAACAAGTCTTGTTTGCTCTGATTTTGTGTTCGGAGTGCAGATAATAAGCCCTCAATGAAATTCAGTGAATTGAGAGCTCTTTGTGTCAAGAGGCAGAAGAGACATTTGCAAGCACGATTATTTGCAATAACTGCTTTCTGTCTTACAGTCTCACTTTCTTCTAGAAGGTGTTTACGTTGAAACTTGGAGGAGTAAAATAGTTGCTAGACTGAAGAGTGACGCAGGAAAAGGCTGTTTAATTAAATTTGATATCTCACTGCTTAGAAAGTTAATGTTTGAACTGTCTGGGTGGCTGGTATTTCTCAAGTATGCCTTGGATAACCACAGTTAAAGAGATTATTACTTAATGTTTCAATGGAAACATGAATTCAGAAAAGATTATATTGTAATTTTCACTTCATGTTCTGTTTCACCTCCTTGGATATTTGCATAAGTAGACACGATGTACTAAGCAGCACTTAAAAGAATACGGAGACAGGAATTCAGATACAGAAATGTGAGAATCAAGAGAGTCAGACAGGAAAACGATGGTTTTGTGGACACAGAGCGGAACGAAAACTCGAGCACCTAAAATTGATCTTTACCACATTGAAAATCTTGGCATGGATAAGTGGATCATGCTGGGGCAAGGTTTCTGGGCAACATAAAGCGAAAAAGGAGGTATCTTTATTCAGTACTTTACCACATCTGGAAATCTCTTGTTCTAGTGCTGTCCTGAGGTTCTTGGAAAGACATTTTCAAGTTGACTTGCCCAAAAACTGCAGACGTAGCTAAATGCACGCTTAGGTTAGACCCTGGTTTGTACCTCAGCCTCATGTAACAGAGCATGAAGTTCACAGTGCTGCTGGAGACAGAACAATACCAAGAAACCAGTCCAGATTTGCAGCCTGAGGTCATACAGCGTGACTGTTTAACACTGAGCCATCATGAAGGAAAATTTTACCTATTGATGAAACGAGAGCTGTGGCTCATTTCCCAAGAACGGCATGTCCAGTGCCACATCCTCACAGAAACCTCTCAGTGAAGCTTTGCTCAATAAAAAGATATCGGCCCGCCAGAACAAAAGATTCAGTGGCAAACTGGGTGGAATTCACAGAACTTTAGGGAATACTTTATTTGAATTTGACCAAAAAGGGGTGGGGGTAGCAACTACTAGTAGCCCTAATGCAGAAAAGAAGTAGGTGCTGAACTGACCCAGTTTGGACACTATCCTAAATTCACCTGGAGATTATGGAGATTTTTTGATGAAACTCAGACTGTGCGCAAACTCCTGCTCGCTGAACTAGGAGTCGGGGAACTGCCCTGATTTCAGAAGGCTGGGAAGACTTGGCACAGATTTGTTCTGGAGACAGACGGCAGGGGCAGGCACAAAGAAAAGATCAGCCATCGCTGCTAATGAGCTGTGTACAATTCA